TCGCATAAAAAAAAAATCGTTTAACAATATGAAAGCGACTGAAATTCTTCCTAAAAGCTATATTAGCAGAAAGTACCGTGTTATAAAGGACCTCACGAGTTTCGACCAAGTTTTCCAGCACGTTATTTTGCAAGAAACGGAAGAAGCCAAGTGTACAACCAGTTTCCAAAGCTGGCAACCACAGCTGGAATCAGCGCCATCCTCGGCAGTTTCCTGAACCTGGCGTAGTCACATTTCAGCCACCGCCACATAGAGGGCGCAACCAGACATCCAATTTGTGTTTTCTGTGTGTTTTATGATTCTTTTTAATAAATAGGCTCGATTAGTGAAAATGTGGGCTAATAATCAGGACCTGGAACAGTAATCTCCATTTAATACTAAAAATATCGGCCTAAATGTCTGCCAAAAGGGGTCAAAATACTCGTTTTTGACTATCAACAAATACGTGATTTCACCTATATTCAAACTTTTTTTATGGAAAATCAAAAGTGAAATTTAGAAAAAGGGCCTCGCTTTGCAAAGCAGAATATGTTTTTCTTTGCGGGCCTACAATTTTATTCATGTGTGCCAATCCCTAAGCGCTGTACCACTGTACTACCAAATGAAGTTTGCCAAAATTAGCGGTTTTTGTCACTTTTCACGTGAGCATTCCGAAAAAAGTTTAAGCCATATTACAATGAAATTTAGCGTAACTCTTTCGACCATAATTACAAACTGATTTAAAAAGTTTCAAATAAAATTAGTCTAACTCTTTCGACCATAATTACAAACTGATTTAAAAAGTTTCAAATAAAATGACCGAGTAGGCGCCCAAAACTTCGCGACTGAAGTGCTTCCGCAAAGTCAATTTTTCTAAAGTAAATATCTGTCAAAATAAAATAAAAAACGAAAAAAGGGCCTCCGTTGACAATGAACGCACTCTTCTTCTATAACATTCTAAAATTAAAAAGAAATCGCTCCAATAGTGCATCCTGTACCACTGTACTACGAAACCATGTTTTGCCGAAAAGGTCAATGTTCGCGGGTGCCCTCTGAATTAGCTTTTTGCACTAGGAAAACAAATCCTACATCAGATAAAAGATAATGTTGTACACTACAAGATGATATATAACACATAATTTTAGCAAGCTTGAACACGCCACGATCGCATTTCGAAAACGTGCTGAAAGCGTCATATGTCATGGCCGCCGTGGGACCGCAGCCTTAACTGTTCTAAAGCAAGAACCCAAAACAAATGACATTTTGCACGCGCGTTTGTCAACGCTTTATTTTGGTTATTTTCTTCGAATCTTTTGTACGGGGACGGCTTGGGCGTGCGGTGGTTCGAGCGTAGAGTTTTTAGTCACTTCCACCGTGGTAACTGCACACGAAAAATGCACGGAACCTTAAGCATGACCTGTTTCGTTGTAAAAATAGAGAAATGTCGTTTTGGGCATTTCATTAACTTTCTTTGGTGCCTTTGAACCCGCAAAAGGCATCTAATGTTTTCAACTCATCATATGATTCTTCTGTACTCCGCAGTGACTGATTCTCAAAGCATCAACTATGTAAACGCACTGGCTTGTTATCAGAGGCACATTGCAGAAGGCGTACTCTATCGACGTGCTCTAAGAGCCGCTCATTAGACGGCACAAAGCGCAAAATTTAGTTAAAGTTTCTAATTATTAATTAAACAAAATGTACCCTTTACCACGCCATTGGGGCAGAGGTAGTGGTAAACACAGAATGCACCGTGTGCTGCTTCGCAGTAATGGCTCGCATGTAAACTTTGCATGATCATAACGCCTTAACAGGCGCAAACATAGTCGTCGTAGCGTGTGTGAAAGAAGGCGCTGCCAATGCTAGCGCTTGAGCGGTAATGGGAGGCGAAGTTCGAATCTTTTGCGGTCGCAAATAATTTTGTCTGGAGCCTGCCGAGGTTCGACCTTTACGAACTTAGAACGCTAATTAAGTTCTCCAAACGTTCGACGTAAGTTTGACTTTCTTTGTTCGTCCGTGAAAACTCGAGATCTGGACTCGTACTGCTGTATTCTTGTATACCTTACGGTGGTCGTTCTTATCTTAAAGTTCTGTATGAACCATCAGCAGAAATCTTCTGGCTTAATATTTTGAAAAAACTAAAGTCGCCTGTAATTTTTCCAAAGAAGAAACAATAATAAATGTGTTATCGTATAGTGGATTTACCCAATACTGTCTTAATTTTTGATCTTCACTCAAAGAAATAGGGGGTGTACACGGGTACTGCCCTTGTCCCATATGTAACTCCCCAAAACTACATTTCGTCGTTCTGTCCACTGACGTCGAGCTGGCGATACCAACTTTTACGAGCGGCTCAATAGTCGAGCGGTACAACTTATTAAAATAGGTAACGTACTCATTAAAGGCTGCATTAATACACACAAGGTTTTCATGGCCCTGCTTCAAAACATCAGTAATTTTTGTGTAGTTTTTGACACGCACATTAGCTATTTAGTACGTTATATACAACAGCTATCAAAGCGCCCGTAAAAGTTGGTGTCGCCAGCTCAACATCAGTGGACAGAACGACGAAATGTAGTTTTGGGGAGTTACATATGGGACAATGGGACTATACCCTGTACAACCCCTATTTCTTAGAGTGAGGGATTTATTTATGTTAAAAAATTAAATAGGAAGAATCAAACATATGTTATATTGATTATTTAAAAAATCTTAGTTTCTAAAAAAAAAAAGAGCTAGATTCACTACTGACGAAAACAAAATGCCGCCATAGCACAGTCAGCGCCATAAACGCGTGCAGGGACACGCACGTTCACGCGCTTCTGAACAAAAAGTAAAAATAAAAGTGTGGCCCAAAATGGCCAGATGTCTCCACCCTAAGCGGAGCGCACATGAAGGCGCCCTAGAGCGGCTTTTTTGCCTCGCCCCCTCGTTTCTCGCAGGTTCTCCCATTATACGTACAAGCGCACTCACGCGACACCTTCTTGAGAACGTGGCTCTAGCCGTGGATCCGCTCTGCCACCCACCAGAGGCCAGGGTCGGGCAGTCGCAGATCGGACACGAGTGCATCGTCAGTGCTGGGATTCGACTCGCTCTCAATCAGTGAAGACACGAGTTTCAGCTAAACGCTAAGGCAGCACTCGTGTGGGCTCGTCTATTGCAGGCGCGTTTGCAGGGAATGGTTGGGATCCATTTAACATCTTGTGCGTCAAAAAACAGTATTTTCTTTAGCGGCTTTGTATACTTCGTCTTTTGTTAAGTCCACACGCAGTCACCGCTGTGAGCCGATCAGACCAATCAGACAGCGTCAAAAGCGCACCATAAGGGCTAATCATGCACAGGTTAGACCAATCAGACAGCGTAAAAACCGCAGCATAAGGACGAATCATGCACAGGTAAGGCCAAACGACATGCGCTTTTGACGCTGCTTTATTGATCCCGTTAGTTCTTAGCGTCAGCTGCATCGGAACTTAGGATTACGCAAAGTATAGTAGCACAGTCTGGGGGTGGACCAATCCCTCAGTCTTCCGAGGGTGATTGGTTTCCCCGGGCTTGCTTTTATATTCCCGACTGAAGGTAGATTCTATTCGGATTTTGTTTTAGTGGCAATGATAAAGTGACACCAATTTAACAGTAATTAAAACTTTACGTACTCATTTTATCGGTTATCTTTCCTATGGAATGTAATATAAATTAACGGCGTGGTGGTACATTTTCTTTTTTATTCCTTGTTTTAAGTAGTCGAGAAATGTTTGTTATCGAGCTACGTTTACGTAATAACGCGATGAATTTAGGGACGAGTTTTCGGAGCGCAGTATATATGACTTCACCTGCACTTCATAGAAACAATAGAATTCTGCTGTGTGTTAATCGTGCCATCAAAAACAAACGCTGGACTTGCAGAAAACAGGTCGTGCTCGGGTTATTGTAGAGAAGTCAAAAAAAAAAAAAAGCGGTCGGGCTCGGGTTTGGGTTGTGCCGAAATACGTTACGGTCGTCTCGTAATCGGGACCACGCTCGAAAAGACCGTTTGACTTGAGCCAGGTTCAGGCCAGCTTCTTATCGGGCAGAGTTCGGTCAGGCCTCAGAATTCCGTCCCGAACTACAGGGTGTCACAAATGAAAATTTACACTGTCTTTTTTACCGCAAAAATAAACTAGGCGTCGCCGAACGCTCATTCTCCGCCCAAAGGTAGAGCTAGAGGTCACAATCAGATGCCAAAGTTTCAGCCCGATCCGATAACTTAATCAAAAGTTATAAGTGATTTTCTGAAAATTTCAATGGGAAAATGGCGGCCGACGGTGTTTTCAAACACATGGGGCTCTATGGCACCAGAAACCGAAAACGGGCGAAAATGGGCTCCATTTTCCCATTGAAATTTTCAGAAAATCACTTGTAACTTTTGATTGAGTTATCGGATCGGGCTGAAACTTTGGCATCCGGTTGTGACCTCTAGCTCTACCTTTGGGCGGAGAATGAGCGTTCGGCGATGCCTAGTTTATTTTTGCGGTGAAAAAGACCGTGTAAATTTTCTTTTGTGACACCCTGTATGTTTTGAACCATTTTGGGCAGCGATGAGGATTCTTATCAAATAGAGCTTTCCGAGAAGCATTCTTGTACCCAGAGCTCGCGCTTCTACTCTGTGACAAGCTTGGAAGTGCGCGTCCGAAGCGACGGTGTTTTCGAAAACAATGGGCTAAAACGTTCTATCTCGACACAGTTCTGAGCGGTGATAATCCAGCTGTTGTTTTTCTACGTGATACTAAACCAGACAGCCCCGCTCTTTCGCTAAACAAACAATTTTAAAAATTGCCTTTTGGAAAACCAAAGTTTATAGAAAATATTCTATAAAAAAATAAAACGCTGCTGCCAACCCCAGTAAAAAGCTCCTCACCCTTTCTAAAATAAGACTATATCATCCGATTTTCTCTTCTCTTTTTTTTTTTTTTGCTCGGATGACAAACGACCGCCAATCGCGTCTCCTTGTTCTGGGCGTGGACTGACGGCGGCGGCTCTCGCAGGATGCCAAAAAGAACGGCGCCGTGACGCCCCTGCTCACGGTGTCCGTGGTGGGCGGTCCCCCTCCGGACGCGGACTCCCTGAGCAAGAAGAAGTCGCGCTTCAACTTGGGCCGCAAGCACAAGTCCAGTCGCAAGAAGCGGGAGAAGGCCTCCGCCAAGCGGGAACGCAAGGCCACCAAGACACTCGCCATCGTGCTCGGTGAGGGCGTGTGTGAAGACACCGTTTGTGGCTTGTCTCTTCCTTATAAGACGGCCCTATTATGATTATAATGCAATTAAATGCAAAGGGGCAAGCGAGCTGGACAAGAATGATGAAAAATAATCCCTGGAGAAGGGGAACAAGAGGGACAAAGGACAAACACAATCTCCAAACACAGCTAGGTGACTGGTGAGCGACCGAAAAAATCCGCCTGGTCCGGCTATCGAACCCGGGACCTCTCTATTACAAGTGGAGCGCTCTACCAACCGAGCTAACCAGGGGTTAGACGTCAGTAGAGCAAACGGGTTTTATCAGCTGCCACCAGTCTAACACCAACAAGGGTGAACCCGTTTGCTCTACTGACGTCTAACCCCTGGTTAGCTCGGTTGGTAGAGCGCTCCACTTGTAATAGAGAGGTCCCGGGTTCGATACCCGGACCAGGCGGATTTTTTCGGTCGCTCACCAGTCACCTAGCTGTGTTTGGAGATTGTGTTTGTCCTTTGTCCCTCTTGTTCCCCTTCTCCAGGGATTATTTTTCATCATTCTTGTCCAGCTCGCTTGCCCCTTTGCATTTAATTGCATTATAATTATAACATTAAATTGCAAGCTTCACCCTTGTTGGTGTTAGACTGGTGGCAGCTGATAAAACCCGTTTGCTCTACTGACGTCTAACCCTTGGTTAGCTCGGTTGGTAGAGCGCTCCACTTGTAATGGAGAGGTCCCGGGTTCGATAGCCGGACCAGGCGAATTTTTTCGGTCGCTCACCAGTCACCTAGCTGTGTTTGGAGATTGTGTTTGTCCTTTGTCCCTCTTGTTCCCCTTCTCCAGGGATTATTTTTCATCATTCTTGTCCAGCTCGCTTGCCCCTTTGCATTTAATTGCATTATAATTATAACATTAAATTGCAAGCTTCACCCTTGTTGGTGTTAGACTGGTGGCAGCTGATAAAACCCGTTTGCTCTACTGACGTCTAACCCCTGGTTAGCTCAGTTGGTAGAGCGCTCCACTTGTAATGGGGAGGTCCCGGGTTCGATACCCGGACCAGGCGGATTTTTTCGGTCGCTCACCAGTCACCTAGCTGTGTTTGGAGATTGTGTTTGTCCTTTGTCCTACTTGTTCCCCTTCTCCAGGGATTATTTTTCATCATTCTTGTCCAGCTCGCTTGCCCCTTTGCATTTAATTGCATTATAATTATAACATTAAATTGCAAGCTTCACCCTTGTTGGCGTTAGACTGGTGGCAGCTGATAAAACCCTTTTGCTCTATGACGTCTAACCCCTGGTTAGCTCAGTTGGTAGAGCGCTCCACTTCTAATGCAGAGGTCCCTGGTTCGATACCCGGACCAGGCGGATTTTTTCGGTCGCTCACCAGTCACCTAGCTGTGTTTGGAGATTGTGTTTGTCCTTTGTCCCTCTTGTTCCCCATCTCCAGGGATTATTTTTTATCATTCTTGTCCAGCTCGCTTGCCCCTTTACATTTAATTGCATTATAATTATAACATTAAATTGCAAGCTTCACCCTTGTTGGTGTTAGACTGGTGGCAGCTGATAAAACCCGTTTGCTCTACTGACGTCTAACCCCTGGTTAGCTCAGTTGGTAGAGCGCTCCACTTGTAATGGAGAGGTCCCGGGTTCGATACCCGGACCAGGCGGATTTTTTCGGTCGCTCACCAGTCACCTAGCTGTGTTTGGAGATTGTGTTTGTCCTTTGTCCCTCTTGTTCCCCTTCTCCAGGGATTATTTTTTATCATTCTTGTCCAGCTCGCTTGCCCCTTTACATTTAATTGCATTATAATTATAACATTAAATTGCAAGCTTCACCCTTGTTGGTGTTAGACTGGTGGCAGCTGATAAAACCCGTTTGCTCTACTGACGTCTAACCCCTGGTTAGCTCAGTTGGTAGAGCGCTCCACTTGTAATGGAGAGGTCCCGGGTTCGATACCCGGACCAGGCGGATTTTTTCGGTCGCTCACCAGTCACCTAGCTGTGTTTGGAGATTGTGTTTGTCCTTTGTCCCTCTTGTTCCCCTTCTCCAAGGATTATTTTTCATCATCCTATTATGATAGTCATTTAAAAGCAGTCTCTAATTAGGTTAGAAGCAGTGTTCGAGACGTTACAAAATAAATTAACAAAATACGTTACTCGTTACTTGCTAATAAAAAAACGCGTTACCGTAAAAAAAAAAAAGTAAAGCAAGCTAATCCTGCGTTACTTTTTACAAGCGATTTTAGATTTAATTTTTAAAAAGCTAGCGCAGCTTGATTCTAGCGGCAATCTTGGTTCACGTCTTTTTAATATTATTTGTTTTCCTTTAAAATTTCTGGGGCATAAGGTAAATTCTGCGAACTTACCCACGCCTGAAACAGTGACACGCACTTTTTATTCTCACCGGAGATGTCCTCCCGTTTTTTACGTCGATAATCGTCATTCACGTGGTTTGGTAGTAGATCCCCGGGTGTGTTTTGTCTAGTGAAGTGGCGGGAAATTTCCTAGCTCAATTTAAGGAAGAAATTGTCTCGTTCAAATTAAATCGACCATAAAATGATTCCCTAACTTCTTTATCCTATGTTTTAATCCTCCTCCACTCACAAGTGAAATAAAAAATCACCTGGTCATGACGTGATTTTGGCATCGGCGACGATGCCTCCTACCTTCCACCGTGCTTTTTAACCCCACCATAAAACTGGTCATTCTAAAGCGATGATAAGTTCCGTCACGGCACACATTGGCCCTGAACGCGAATTCAAATCTTCGTCGCAGTCGATGTTTGACGAGCGGATACGTCCGACTGACGCCGTGCTATCGAGTCCAAAGCGGGAGCTGGGTTTGGCTTTCATGTTTGGGCACCGCGGATGCATCCCAGTGAAAAGGTGGAGAGCTTTCGAAGGAAACGAAGTACGCAATGGACCGCTATATTTTCAAATTTTCGCACCGAAAAGCAGGCTTTAGGCTTTCTACGTACGTGCAGTAGTTTTATTTTTAGACACCAAACGACACACGATTAGTAAAATCTCAATTTATCCCAGCAAAAATGTGTCTCGTGGTCCCTTTAACAAAGTCCTTTACCGGCTAAACCTAGCAGGAAGGTGCACGACTCTAGCCTGTGTACCGCTTATTGTGCAACCAATAGCAGCTAAGACAAGGCGGGTGCCTTCTAGCAAATGGCACGTTACTTAAAAGCTGATGTAACGCGGTTTGCTTTGTAATCGCACTAACAAACAAATACTCAGATTTTTTTTTTAATCAGTAACGAGTAACGGTATTTAATTACTTCATACCAGTAACGTGTACAAAACTGGCACAAGGAAGCTGCGATTTATATATATATATATATATATATATATATATATATATATATATATATATATATATATATATATATATATATATATATATATATATATAAAGGGTGCTTTTTTCTAAACTTAACAGATTTGTTTAAAAAAAGCCGTGAAAGTTACACTTATGCCGCTTGTGGAGGTGAGTTATACGGCCAGGGGGACATATTATAGAGGCTAATCGTAACGATCAGTCGTCTAATTGAATAAAATTCGTTAATTAACTTTTTATTTAATGAAAATAGACATGGTTCCAATTAGAAACTTGCTCAGCGTCATCGAAAATCACTAAATCAGTCATTTTCAGAAAGACTTTGAGCGCGTGAGAAGCGTAGCAGTGCACTAAAGTTACCACTCTTGGAGCAGCTACAAAGCTAGCGGTTGCGATGAGGCGCCCGCGCGATTTTTCCGTCTCTTATCTAGCCCCAGCCTTGTACCTGCTCCACGAGCGGTAACTTTAGTACGATACTACGCTTCTCACACGCCAAAAGTCTTTCTGAAAATGACTGATTTAGTGGTTTTTGATGACGCTGAGCAAGTTTCTAATTGGAACCACATGTCTATTTTCATTAATAAAAAAGTTAATTAACGAATTTTATTCCATTAGACGACTGATCGTTACGATTAGCCTCTATAATGTTCCACTGGCCGTATAACTCACCTCCGCAAGCGTCATAAGTGTAACTTTTACGGCTTTTTTTAAACAAATCTGTGAAGCTTAAAAAAAATAAATAACACCCTGTATATATATATATATATACATTTATAGACTGTGTTATGAATTGTAACGTACAGCGTGCACGTCTCGAACTGTGGCGCGCCTTGTTGCAGGCGTCTTCCTCTTCTGCTGGGTGCCCTTCTTCACGTGCAACGTGGTCGACGCCGTGTGCATGAAGCTGCAGAGCAACGACTGCCACCTGGGCGTCACGGTGTTCCTGCTCACAACCTGGCTGGGCTACATCAACAGCTGCGTCAACCCTGTCATCTACACCATCTTCAACCCGGAGTTCAGGAAGGCCTTTAAGAAGATCCTCGTCGGGCCCGCCAAGTAGTCAGCTGGCTCACCTAAGCTCTCGATCCGCGAAGCTTGCCATCGGGACAGGCGCGAATGTGAAGAAGAAAAAAGTAACGCTCAAGGAAGAACTGAACCCTCTGGGTTCCGGTGCTGTGCCAAACGCTATCATGCTGAAGCCATGCTCGGCGTGCCGTCGCTTTCCGTTTCATTGTATCGCACGCCTTATTGCCTACCTTACTGAAAAACAAAATATATAAACCCGTACGATCTATATTCCATGGTATCATAGATGAAAGAACCGTATGATATATTACGTTCATTTTCTTTAATGAAGAACGTGCATGTTGATTTTATTTTTGGCCGTCGCTATCTAACATACTTTCCCTCTCAGGTGACATATAAATAACATTTTTTTTCTCTCGCATGTCTTCGATAATTTGCTAAGTAGCGATATTTTAAACAAATAGACTCGGACACAAATAATGTTCTGCGCGTTTCACGTGTATAGCATAGGCAAGGTTGTACGGAACCACTTAAGATTGTGGCGTCCGCGGATATAACCACTTAGTTTTCCTTTTTTTTATATATATATATATGGGTATTTCGTATGGCGTTGTGACATATGGTTAAAACAATCATATGCTCATATACGATGCATACATTTAGTTTTACTTTTTCATGAGGGGTGTATGCTACACTCTGAAGTAACATTTCGGCCATTATAGTGCTGTAAATTACGGTTGCCAGATATCGGAAGTTTTGTATAAAATCGCACTAATTCATTTTCCGTCCTGCAGAAATGTTAAACTATTCCGCGACAGAGCGAAACAATATCACCCGAGCTTCCGAACACTTTACCTAAAGCTCTAAAAGTCGCATTTTTGAATCGTCAAAATCGCCAGTTGCACCTGCCCTGCACTAAACAAAAAAATAACGGTGCTCACAAAAAAAAAAAAAATAATAATAATATTAGGCACAGAGTGTGACATTCGAAGCGTAGGTTATGTGCCCTTTTCGAAATGCAGTTTGGCTGCTTTGATCACCATCATCATTTCAGTGCTTGGCATCTGTGCCAAATTAATGGCGGTCTTGTTGAGGCTGATTAAGGGAAAAGTTGAAGGGAGAAGTTCTAATATTCGCACCTTAAAAGGTGAAACGAATGAAGAAATAATATTGAGGTGATCGAAGAACAAATGCTCATCTGCCATTTACACGCGAAAGTGATGGTTCCAGACGAAATACAGCTTCATGACCACCGTTAATTTGGCGAGAGTGAAACTGCTTTTGGAGCCACCAGGTGGCGCTGAACTAAGAAAAGGGTCTGCTATTGAGTTGTACTCTTCTCGCGAATCGTCATCACTTAAACGGGTTCGTGAGAATGTTTTTTTTTTTTTTTATGTAGTCGACTTTACGATTACATTTTCCACCCTTTCAGGTTACATCTTCACTTTTGTATGCGACCCAGGGCTGTTGAAATTCCATACATAAGCCATTGCATCGAGGTAGCACTACACACCACAAATTTTACGCTACATCTTCGACAGGGTTACATTATTGTCACGTTCATTTTACTTTTTCAGCGGAACTCGAAAGGTTTCTTATCTTGTTTGTACGAATCCCTTTACTCTGACTAAAAAGTACTACGCAATATTATACTTCGTCGTTGTTTCAGCTTGGCAAAAAGGCTTCCCCACATTTGTTTCTATTTTAGATATTTAGCACTTATCGGTAAAGAAAAACAGTGATTTTATCAATGGCTTCCTTGCTTTGCTTTTTAGTCCCAAACGTGTGCGCTTGTGCGTGTCTCCTGAGAGTCCAGAATATTGGTTTTAAAATAAATTTTATAAACGATCTCATACGTTTGTAATCACAGCTTGTTTAAACTGCAAGAAAAAAACGTAAGGAGAGTGTTTACGCGCGCTCAAATACCAACCGCACTTCATATTGAGCGATAGAACAAGCAGTTCCTCATTAAAGCTGTAAAATTAATAGGCCCGCTTCAATTTTAATAATTAGTTGACCGTTACTCAACATCGCCCAAAGCGCTTCCGCCTGCACCATGAGTAATCTTCCGCCTGCTTCATTTTTTATGCCATCATATTTTTCGGCGGACTTTTTAAAACAGGCGTTCTGTAATTAATTAATTGAACTGTTAAATTGCCAACAAGCCCATACACTTTTATAAAGGAGCACAAATATGAAGAGTAAAAAATATTCTCCGATCTAAAACACGGAAGTGAAAAGATGTTTTGGGCGGTTTGTAACCTGGGGAAGTTTTCTTTTTACTTAGATTTTTTTTTTCTGCTGAGGCGATTGTACCTCATCAGCGAACATAAAGATAGAGTAAAATCGCCATTTTAATTGGATGTCTCCATTAAAACTTAATTTTGCCATGACAAAACAAAACAGGGGGGAGGGGGGTCATATAAATATTTTGCTTTTCTGATTGGTTTTGCAGCTTTTAACCTCTTCCAGTGGTTAATATCTACTTTCCCTTATTGAGAAGGGTTTTATTTCAGTAGCTCATACTGCAGCGCAAGAATCTGGAAAACTAAAACTCTCCAAAATCGTTTTTTTTTATATATAATAATATATGTTACTGCTCAAGGTAAAACTTTTAATTTATAATGCATTATTCGATCCTCAGTTATCTTACTGTCACAATCTGAGGAAACTACAACTTGTACGCGCATAAATACACTGTTTGTTTGTTTTGTGGCAGAAAAATGCCATTCACATCGTAGCCAATGCTTCACATATCACTCGCACACAGAACTACCCTACCATAAGTATAAGCCTATAAAGTAATGAAAATAAAACAACGATTCCAAAGATAAGCTCGGTACATTGCAGTATAATTTTGTTTAAAAGTTTCAAATCATTCTTTGCAACGGACTGCGAACCTAACTGGAAAAATATATATGGCGTGCGGAGTTCGCAGCATCCTGCCCTGAAGGATGCTACGACTTGCTTGCAGGCTACAGATGCTTCAGTTCACACTTCCTACGTACACTATCAAACGTTTTCGGCAAGCACGGTGCTCACATCCAGCTTACGAACCGAAAGACGTTGTATATAATTTGTTAATTCCTGTTGACATATTTTGTTACTTTTTCTGCCCGGAATGTTGCCCTGTCAAGCCGCATTATTGAAGCTTTTTTTCTGTCCCCTTACCCTCATTTCGTACTCTAGATGTAAAATTAAAAAAAAAAAAATGAATTGGAAGTTGAAACTTGTTAGTAAACCCCGGAATTGCTGAAAAAATAGCCCCGTCTCAAGGCAAACTAATAAAAAGCTTAGTTCTCGTTCAGTAAACTCTGTTCGTTCCTAATGCTGCATTTACATACTTTGAAATTGACACATGCTGAATGAGTGAGCAAGGCCTGACAGTTTTCGTCACCCATAACAAGAACACACAAGGACTTGCGCGACCCACACGTTTCATACACGACAACAACTCATTCCGATGTAAATTCGGTCACTTATTCCATCGCAGTGTTACATAAAGTTCAATTAAACAGTAATGTTTGCTGAGTTTCCGATTTATCTGGAACTTATAGAATATTTATTGTAAGCTCATCAGTAACCATAAGGTGAAAACCTCGTAGAAACGTTCAAAATCGTTTGGCCTAAAAGGGGCACTAAAGTAAATTTTGAGATCCGTTTTATGGCAGAAACTTAATCTGTCTTCCCAAAGCATCATAGAAAATGCTAAATTACAAAAATGCTTGGCTTTTCTTTTTTTTTTCTGTTAAAAGCGCGACCAAAAAATGCGACATCTCCTTTTCCTTGGTTGCATGTTTAAGAACAGAAAGGGACAAGCGTGATTGTAATTTTGAGTTTTCTAGGATGCTCAGGGTGTGTAGATTGAGTTCGCGCCAAGAAAATGCGATCTTAGAATCAACGTTAGTGCCCCTGTAAAGATTCAGATAACCAGAAGATTTGAAGATAGTAATACTCTGAAGCATTGTGAATGCGCAAACATCCACGCGATCTTGGGGATGGTTATGGTACTAGATGGCGCTCTCTAGTGCCTGCCGGGTCTAAGAGCAAAGCAAGGCTGTTTTTATATACATACATATTTCCCGGACATGTGTAACAAGTATCACCTTACGACATGAAAGTATACACACTTTTGTTTTAATAACACCGCAAAAAATGATATAAAACAAATATTTGCCTCAAATGTCCAATCATCCTTTCTTTTTTTTTATCCCTTGCCACAACTTTTTATGCGACTTGGCGGTGGAGGGGTCTTGTTGGTTTTTATGCGTCTATCATTGGAAAGCAGGCCGTAACTCTTTATTTTTGTTCAAAGTAGGACCACCCATATAGGACGTGGGGAACAATATCATGAGGCACCGGCTTGATTAATGATCGAAGAAGACAAAATACAATAATGAATATCAATTTATTGATTCTACAAAGCGTCCGACGGCGATAAATCCTATATAAAATGAAACAAAACGAAGATCGAAACCACGCAACTTAGATAACGAGAGTTTTGACACTCAAGTTTATGCAACCACAAAAATTTGTCTTATCAGCTCGGTGCTTAAAATTTGAAATCATGAATATTCACGCAACAAAACTCGGTGCTGCTGTAAACGTTAGATGTTTGAAAAGCATCTTGATAGTATAAACCAATTATCGATCAACACAACACTGCGCGTATACGCTGTAGCGCGGAGACTTTAAAGGGACACTGACACCCCCCAAAAAATTTATTTTATTTTTTGCCAGGGGCTTCATTATGGTGTCGGAGGACTACCCAATTAATATTTTGCAACAGAGTAGCGTATTTTTTTAATAAAGCCGAAAGACGCAACTGCTCGAAACCGAAACCGAAACCCGACGGAGGTCGGAGAAGTGGAGAGAAGAGAGTGAGTGGCGGAAGTCACGTGGCTACACCCGACCGTGCGTTTTTTTTTTTTTTTTTTTCTCCGTAGCAGACGACACGACATGCGGCGTGCGATGCGGCGTGCGGGAGCTGCTCGCCGGGCGATTCTTTTGCAGTTATGTTTGTTACGCTCGTTGTTCTGTACTCCAAGATGAGTTGTTTTGTACATTGAGGAGTCGGAGATGAGTAGCGAGTGCCCGTGGTGAATTTCCATGATCGGCTCCGAAAAGAATACACCCAAGATGTTGCGTGAAGAGCTGGCTCACATGTCCTGCGTCCGAAAAAAAGTGGCATTGTGCGACAGAGTTTCCGAAAGATCAACGGGATCGGGACCATTGGCTGGCTGCAATTCCTGTAGAACATATACGGGCACCTCGGAAAGCGGACGCTACCTGATTTATATGCTCCTTGCATTTTGTGGAAAGTGATTACATTGAGTTCACAGGTGTCAAAAAGGAAATCACATACCATTTAATTCAGCGAAGTATCGTCCGCAACATTTGTTTGTTATTTTTTGTTTGTTTCTTCAGTGATGATTGTAAAAAAAAAGAAAAAAGATACGTAAACATCGGGAAATGTTTGAAAAAAAAAAAAAAAAGTTTCACGGGGGATCGAACCTGGTCCTACCGCGTGTGAACCGGACGTCTTTCCCACTGCGCTACGGGGAATCCCTTTTCTGGTGGATCTCTTACCTTTGTAATAATTAAGCCGGTAAACTGTAAGTTGGAAACTTTGCTGTCGATTTTTCTCTAGCAAAAGCACTCCCGAGTCGAAGTCGGGAAGCACCACGCTTTGGGGTCATTCGCACCTAGTAAAGAAATTGTACGCGTGCATATTCAACTCGAAGTAGACACGTCGTGCTTGACGTTTGCGCGAGCGATGTCTTCAGCCACGAGAAGGGAGCGACGGCTCGGCGACGTCTTCGTGCAAATCGGCTTGGTGGCCGGGCGTGTCGTACGGGATGAATACCAATTCTTTTGATCAGTCCCAAATTTCTCTTTTAAAGGTAGACAGAATTCGCCGGTACCGCGAACGACAGTTCTGAAATAGAGGCCCCACGCCCGTCGTCCGCTGCCATCGCCGTCCCCGCGAGTCCCACGATACGCGAAACGACGAACGCACAGAATGCTTCCGGTTGTCTGTGGAACTTTTTTTTTCAATCAACGTATTTACAGCTTTTTAGAAGCCACAAAAAATGGGTTTCATATTTTTTTCTATTTTCAATATTGAGTGTGTGCCTTCAGTGACCCACGGCTTTGATTAAATTTGGTGGTCGCATCGATACCTTAGAAAACGGCCCGTGACCTCGAAAAAGAGAGTGAGCGAGACTCGAACCGGCCAGTTCTTGATCGGCGGTTTTCGGGCGGAAAGAAACCGAATTTCGAGCCGCAAATTCTGTTCTGGGTAGTTGAGCTCTCATATGACACGTACAACTAAAAACCTCGGCGAGCATAAATACCCTGTCAGTGTCCCTTTAACTCCTAACAAACTCGTACACTTTCCAGTCAGCCTTCATACACTCGTGTAATCCTGCCAAGCCATGTTTCATAAAAACCGCCTAATTCTGATTAGCTAGTTGGTCGCGTGTCACATTGAAACATTGGAGCATCCTTGAGTGACTCCGATCTCCAGGACATATATGCCACCTCATTTGCCAAAACGGTGTGTACCCCCGAGTGACAATGCTAACCCAAATAATGTATCATTGCCTTTTAAGATACATATTGTCACAAGGCTAGGCATAGTGTCGACGAAACTTGATATGTATGACAGAAACTAAGCCTTCGCAGGTGGACCTTTGGCACCAACGTGCATGAATTAAACGAGATCAGCCTCTTCTTTATATGGGTCCATCGCAACATAGCGCACAAGTGTCGGCCGAGCTTCACAGTCTCAGCGTCTTCTTACCACGCACAGCCGAAGTTAGTAACCGTGGAGTTACTAACGAGACAGCGTCCGTGCCGATTGGGCGCCAGCATGGTTTCAGCAAAAAAAATGGCAAAAAGGTGTTTTGTGAGCAACTCGCGTCAAAGTGGCAAAACCTCAAGGCACTCATCGGACAACGTGACTCTGTGCAGCACCACTGGCGTGAAAGACGAACACCGTTACGGTTGTGTCGACGCCCAAGAGAACCACCACTTCAAGCAGCTGCCGTGAATGTCGTACGCCGGTACCAGTGTCGTCCGTCACGTTCATCATTGTTATTTCTGTAAATATCTGTCAAACGATTCGGGGTTTTTGTTTGTGGTCAAAGCTTGGCTTACGAGAACTACTACGATGCGGATTTTTGCGTAATCCTTTTTTTTTTTAAAGAATTACGGCTCATACGATCTCGACTTAGGAAAACAATGAGTATATTGAAAAGTGTATTCGGAAAAGTTGAGAATCAAAATACGTGAGGTGAACAGCTTTCATCGAAAGTTGGCAGAGTGAGAACAGGTATAAGCTTCCCGTCAGACACGGTTATCGCAAAAGTTATAATGTGTAAATTCAGACTATGAATATATTACGTACATACCTATATATATATACATACGATAGTTCTGATAATGTTGAAGATAACTTTTATGTGTGTGTGTGTTGGGGGGGGGGAGGGTCGGTGAAGAAAGAATATATAAATATATATTGAACATTTTGGAGTTTTTTTTCTACTTTCTATATTACTGTAAGTCTTTAAAACAAGGTTCAAATTGCCTTTCTTCAACTAAGAAACTATTTTGACTCAGACGAGTTGCATGTACAACCCTGAGAAGAACGGTTATAAAAAAGGTAAGCCTTTTCTTAATTTCAAAAAGGGAGTTAGAAGCTTGATTTTTCTTCAGTGTCAAGGCTCTTCGACTAGGGTAAGTACATTCACCTATATGTCATCACCGCGTGGATATGTGAAGAAACCGTCGAATCCATTTCAGAAACTTTTTTGGCAGGAATGCCAAGTCTTATTTTATTGCGAAATGTACCTTAAATAAGCGTCGATCGGGTTTTCTTTTTTTAAATGGCTATGTATTCTTGTGCGCCTAAGAGACAGTTGCTTAGTTTGTACTCAATACCAGGGTGTCAAACCTGACCCGAACCAAACTCCAAACCGGAACCGAACCGTTATCTTTTGCAAAATCGCAACTGAACCGAACCCAAATCTTCAACGCCATCTTGGAACTAAACGAAAATCAAACCGAAAAAAAAAAAAAAAAAACGGTAAGCGGTTCAAAACGGTCCGAGGTAATTTTTGTTTTCTCTTTTGTTAGTATTACAAACGGAATATTTGGGAATAAAAAAATTGCCATTTGTATTTCTAGGTATTGTACGGATCGTCTTATA